GGTCAAGCATCAGCTGGTCTCGCTAGCTACCGGATGGGTTTTTAGTGACAAATCCTCGACACATATACAAGTGTTTCAAACCGTACCCTCCCCCACAATAAAAACCGACTAAAAATAGCTTTCAAGCTAAAGACCTAAATTGTTGAAGTCTTCACTAAAAAAAAACATTTATTTTTTTTTTGTCAATATCTCGTTCAAAAATAATAATTTATTAATTCTTGCGTATTCTTGCAACTCGCACGTAACCTGTTTTATGTACGGCCACAATTAACTACCTCTATAGGTAAAATTAATATGTTAATACTTGCTGCACCATGAGTGATGAGTCGCAATTACAACTGAAGTTCTAACCTAACTTAACCTAACCGAGTAATATAAAATATCACACACACAAACTATTTGGGGGGCAAATAAATAGGTAATTTTAAATATTTTAAAACAGGATTAACAAAGCCACCTGCGAGATGCAATCGTCGTCTGGATTCCAGTGGCCAGCGTAGATCCAACTTGGTTCAAACTTTAACCACCGGCGGGTGAATCTTAATACGTCTCGCATCATACCAATAATTATTTAAATAAATATGTCACTCAAAATTTAAAAATGTGATTAAATGAATCTTATTTTTAGACTAAACTTACTAGATTCACTAGCAGTAAAAAAAAGTTAATCGTGTCGTAAATGGATAACTGCTCTCACATCAAAGCTTACTATGAAAATATTATATATATTTCTTATTACTTTTGTTCATTATATAGTGATAATAAATATCAAATATTAATATGTATATTGTGAACCTAGTTCGTATATTATAGCCAATTAAGCTACTAAAATGTAGTAAATTCAAGTAAATTTATAATAGTTTTATATCAGTAAATCGCCATTAGTATTTGTTTAAATCATAATATAGTATATTTTCTTAAATCAATTATATTTATAAATAAACTATCAAGTTAGAAACAATATTCAAATAATGATTTCACTAAAACGCATATGATTTAGACTTTTGTTTTTTTATATCTATATTTCGGACTTAAGCCATATTAGGTACCCACCTAGATTATTTATCCTAAGATTTAACATTTATCATTTGTAAAAGCTAGAATCACAATTATAATTATTCGTGTGGTTAGACTAAACTCAATATTTTATACCCATCTCTGCGTTTACCAAGATCAATGCCAAGCTCAAAACTCCAATTTTGTCGGTCGTTTAACCCATGTTTTCCCGGTACTCGTACTTTTACCGTAACACATAATATTATATGTCTTTACAACAATTATTGGCGATGGTCTTGTCTGGTTTTTCGTCCTGCGATAATGGGACATTAAAGTTTCTCGTCTTACACCGCAGACGCAGACAATTTCCGCTAAGACGCGTTTCCTCGTTAATCGAAAGACAAAATCGACGCGATGTACACGTCCAGTCGGACACAGCCATCATATATCACACGAGTTAATATTGTTATTTGCAGATTTCGTCTAGAAAATGTGCTTAAGAACTGTAGACGTTTTTCTCGCCGAGATCATATCTCGGTGTCGGTGCAATACTATACTTGAATATTATATTGCCCGTTATTCGGTGGTATTACATCGTCGAAACGGTCCTTTTCAAGTCTGAGCAGTATTATAATAATAATATAGTGCATACACCGTATACCCACCATAGATCGATTTTGTCGTTCACGATCGTAATCATCGTAAATTGTTATTTTTATAAAGTCACGTTATACACAATATACGTATTATTAATAGTATAAAATAAAATACCTAACTGCAGGTTTATCGTAACGTTTTATTTATATAAAGTCACGTTACATACGTATTATTAACGGTAAAGGGCCAGTCTGGCCACTAAAGGTGTACAGGATGGATTTGTGTTTAGGGCCCATGAGTCGTTATAAAATCATATGCGTACGATTTCAAATTATAATTTAGCTTTTATGTTATTATATTTATTGGCTATCTAACTTTATAAAGTAAGAACATAATTTTATACTTAATTAATTTAAAGTTAATTAAAATCTTTATTTAATTTAAATTGTAAAAATCTGACTCCTTTCATTATCTTTGAAATAAATATATATATATACAATATACATACTAAAATTATTTTAGCAAATATTAAATTAAAAGTCTTGACATTTATCTTAATGACCTCGCTTTATTGACTATCAGCAAAAAGTAAAATAAGCTCTATAAAATGTTGTGTTTGATAACGAATACGCGCCTTCTTATTTTCTTCTGTAATAAATACCTTGTGTGTACCTACCAATAAATATGATTGAATCAATCAATTGTTTTAGAATGTTCTTGTGAGTTTCAACTTCTTTGGTTTGTTGAGACATAACATTGCGATTTATAAGAGTACCGACATAATTATTAGAAATTACACGTACCGCGGCTAAAGCATCATTTTCATGAGTTTTAGACTTTTCATGTCTTTCAAGTTTCAAGGCCATGGTAAAGACTTTTATGTTTCTTTATAATATAATATGTTTAAATAAACTAACAAATTTAGATTCCTGTTAAAAAGTTATTGAAAATGCCATGCAACTTAAGTAATAAATAGATTGTCTTTCAACATCATAATATCATTGAAAAAATACATAAATTCTTTGTTGGTCTGCCGCCAGTCAGTTATACTTATAATAATTTAGCTAGGTATATTAACACATTTGTATTTTTATGCTCATAATATTTTATATTGTAAAATTATTTAATGAGACATAATATAGGAAAAAAAATAGGGAACAGGTCAGCAGCGATTCTACCTAACTGTCTTTACCCTGGCGACACTGATTTAACAGGATAATTAATACGCAGCAACAGTGAGGATTCTGATAACATTTTTACCAGTCGACAAACCTTTTGCTGTACTCGTAACTAAATGTATCGTTTCAGTTCATCATATTATAATCTTTTTAAAAGAAAAAAATACGTGTTCAACTACTTACGTAAGTTCGGAGATTTTTTGTTTCGGAGATTTCACCTATTAAAATATTTTCGCCATTTCAAAAATAATATTTGATAGGAATAAATTATGTTTCCATTCTGTGTTCAATGATTGTGAAAAAACCAATCGTTTACCCGATAACACACTGAGAATTTCAACTACAGTTTTAAACACTAAAATTGTAAACAAACGACAATAAAATAATCGAATTTTTATGCATTAATTCAAAAAGAGTAAAAATATTTGACCGTGTATAGAAAATCCTAATATAAACAATTGGTGAACATTTCACGAGTTCACAATAATTATTTTAATAATAAATTACAACAAAATAAGAAAATCGATTTTGTCAAAACTGTTTTGTGTAAAAATTTACTTTCTTCCCTAATTTAATTTTTTTGTTTCGAATTTATTATGTAATAGTATTTGATTGTTTAACTGTTGCGCCTCAAAGGGACATAAGATTCATTTCCTTCCAGACAAAATTGAAAAGTTTAAAATCAAGGTCTTTTTTTTTATAAAAATGTCTTGAACCCCTCCCCCCAAAAAAAATAAAAAAATATCCGTGTAAAATTAATACATTCTTCACACATCTAAAAAATTAAGAAAAATAAATCTACTGAAATTCAATTATAAGAATATAAAATAAAGTAAACAATTTTATAATTTTTTTTTTTTATAATTTGGGAAATGTTATTTTCCATAAATATATTAATTATAATTTTTTTAGTACGTGATCATACCTATCTAAAATTCACGGATGGCTTTGTTTATATTAAAATTGCAATATAAGACACATTCGGGGTTATTTTTTTAGATTTAATAACCTCTGAAAACAGTATTACCTTTCCATTTGGTTGGGTCGTACTACAATGAACCGTGGAAAAGCTACGCATCTTTTTTTTTTACTGGTACAGCGTATTTTATGCATGTAAATTAAAATATGAGTGCAAATGCACTAATCGCTACTTTCCTGTTTATCAAAAGCTCAAAGAAAAATGCTTCTTTTAATTGACAAAGTTTTACTGCAAATTCGAACGTCGTGTGCAGATATTGTTTTACTATATTAAGATTTGTCATAACTTTTAATGAGATATTTTATCGTATGGAAATAACGAACAAGTCTGGCAAACACTTTTCGCGATGTTTTTACCAGGAGATAGCAGTTAACACAGAGTATTTTCCAAAACAAAAAACCGAACGTATTCGAGTATATGATTTTTTTTTCCAATGTTTACACCATAATACCATTTTTGCAGATGCGTGTGAAACGATTTTTACACATCAAACTTTTTGGTTTGTATTTGTAACTGTTTATCAAAAATGAAATTGTTTTCCGATTTGTTTCTAAAGTAAATAAAAGTTAAGGTCGAACAAACAACGAGTAGCGCTTGTTATCCATAATATTAGTTGAACAGAGTAAATAATGATTTTGTTCAACCCATAAAATATTTTCGACATTTCAAGATTATATGCTTGATAGGAATAAATAATTTGTCCATATTTTTGTTTTTAATGATTGCGAAAAAAATAACCGGTCGGCGCTCGATAACACACCGATGTATGAGTTTTCAAACTATAATTTTAGACTTAACATTTTGAACTTATTAATCATATTATCATAATAAAATTATGTTATAGTATGACAATTTCAATTACCGCAGTTTTCATAAATATATATGTCCAACTTAACATCATTATAACCATTTATAATATCAATTTGAACAATATTAAAAATGTATTTATTTAGAAAGATTATAATATAAACACAATAAAATTATTGTTTTAGACGGGCATTTGAATTACGCTCGTAATTATTTAATGCCTACTTGTTATGCGAACCTTTAACGGATGATACGTACATATACATAATATGAACTACATAAATACATGCACGTATAGTCATTAAAGTTTCATATGTATTAAAATATTTTTATTTTTTCGTTAATTTAAATCGCGAACAACGCTAACCCTCTGCATATTGTATTATGATACTTGTATTTTTTTTAATATTTATTATTATTATTATTATTTTTTTTTTGTTTAGGTGGGTGGCTGACGACAACTGGAGTCCCTGTAGCAAAACATGTGGAGGCGGAATAAGGGTACGACACGTTTATTGTGTGGAAGAAACAAATGGCACTAGAACAAAGGTAATGAGAATTGAATTAAAAATCAAATTAAACTGGTAATATAATTACGAATGGTTTCAATGCAGTGGTTCTTTTTTCATTTTAATTCCGCCTCGAAAGCTAAAGCTGGTCGTGAAAATCTCGTCGGTACTTAAACATTTTCCGTGGTTGCTGAACAGACATGACGTATTATGTACATTGTACTCACATTATTAAGACCCATACGCATAGTAATATAGTAGTTCTGAATTGACCGATTGGTTATATATACGCAGCTCTACGTTTTCTAATAGAAAACTTTTTTTCACAGCGTAGATTTTTTTCCTGAGTAAAAATATTGAAATCTGATAAAATCAAAAACATTGAACCATAATATCTATGTACATCAAAAGAGACTCTGGCATTGTTCATATCGTAGCAAAAAATACTATAAAAACGACAGTTTAACAGCCTAATTGATATCATGAGTCACGAAGACAAGTGCTTAATATAAATGCTTATTGTTTATGTTTTGCTGCTTTATATTATATTTAATTATATTTACTACCTATTGAGTTTTATTTACGTGCTAAGCTCTAGGAAAAAAATACAATTTAAATACAATTCTAATATTAATAACAACAAATGTTTGATAAGAGTATATACATTTAAAACAAATCATGACAAAAATACCAATAGTAAATTTGAAAGGTGTTCTGAATAATATACATTAAGCACCTCAAATTTCTTATAAAAAAACATAAATAAACAAGGAAAATATTCATATCATATGATTTTCATATTATTATTATTAAATACTATTAAATTATAATATTATATATTATAATTATTATTACTCATATTATTTATTCATCTCAATCGAGTTTTACATTAAATCTTACACAACAGACACATTATTACTTTTTACATTTATTTTATAAGTAAATGCATAGAATTAAAAAAAATATATGTTATAAGGTTAATAACGAAAACAAATAGTAAATAATCTATCAATTTTATCTTCATCATTCAAATGAGAAATTTTTTTTAATAAAACGTTTTTTCCTAAAATTCTTATCAATTATTAGTTTTATTTGTATACAACGTCTATATCTATCTGAACCGACTAACAAGTGAAGATTTATGTATTATAATATCTGTGCTGTTACTTTTTTAAATCTTTTTGAAAAGTTATTTGTTTTGTTATATACAACTTGCGATCGTAGAAAGCTGCTTTGTAATATACATACCTATTGTTTTAACCAAATGAACATTGGGCCGATGGGAATGTAGCCCCACCCTAAGAAAAACTTAAATGAAGCCTCTGAATTAGGTTAAGTTAGTTTAGTTAATATTTGTAAATATATAACGGTGTTATATAGTGACAGTTATATCAAATATGATCCACCTTATTTTTTATTGTAAATGATTTGTTAAGGAGATGATTTTTTTGAAAATCTTTATTTACTTATTTATAGTAAGTTGTTTCTGAGTTAACAAACTTTAAGTACCAAGGATTAGTTTTCTTAATAGTTGGTCCATGAGTATATATTGGTAGCTTTCGTGGTTTCTAATTTATATTATTAATCTATTGAACATTTATAATTGCCAAAATTGTCCATGAATATATTTAATTGTATAATATATAGGTACCTAGAAAAGTACTAGGATAAATATTACATCAGAATATCGGATATCGTGATATTGATGAAACAATAATAACGCGTTTGTAATAATTTACTATTATTAATATTCTATCATTGTGTTACACTCATCGCTGGGATATCTAGATGGTATTATTAAGTCACGGATTAACTACGCTGAATATATATTGCAGATTTTATTCACAATCCGTATAAATAATAATTTCACTGTCATTTACAACAATAGATACGACCTGCGTAATATATATATTATTATGTAGATACACATCCGAAACCAATAAAGTTTCATAAATATTCGTAATAATAACAATAATATGATTTAATATTATATTGTGTTATTAACTGTTGTACATCAATAAGTAAATAATAAGTAATATAAAATAATAATTCGTCGTCGAACCAGACGTGTGGGATGAATGTAATAACAATATTATTATGAGTAGGTAGCACTTTACAGAGTTTACACTAATATGTCATTATAATACAACTATATTATGTTGAATTACTATTACTATAAAAATTAAATAGCTTAATATTCATATTGTACCTACGCGTACTTAACATACATTTCCCACCACTGTAAGGAAGAAAAGCAGTCATCGTAGCGCAATAATAATTTAACACATTTTCCGCGCTGTGCTAATTTCGAAATAAGCTATTGAAGTGTGTAGTGTCATCCGATCATAATATAATAAACTTCCCCTAACATTAATTTATACGGTTATTACAATGACGTAATACTATTAAAATGGTTACAATAGTAATAAATCATAAAGTATATTTTAGTACTAATAACCTATAAATATGATTTTGTAATGTTTCTGCTTAACAGCTATGTACTATTATAATATTAACCATTAAACGGGTGCAGTCTACGAAGGCGTTTAATATATAATATGAATACCTTTAGGTTCAGATAATATAGGCTGTGCCTCTGAAGATGAGAATTTCAGCAGAACATATAGTTATACTGGCGGCGCGGCTTGATTTTATATCTTAGTACTAGCTAGATTTTAGTACTTTTTTTGTTATTTTTATTAGAAAAGTCCTTCTACTTTCTAGTAACAATATTGTGAACGTCAGCGTCTCCACCCGGTATTTTCACAAAGCAAGGTATTATATAATTCTATATACAGGGTTATTCACCAAGCAAGGTCACCCACATGTTTTCTTTTAATGAATTTATTCAAATTTTGATTTTAGGAATACAAAATAAATATAAACATAACAGCCATTATCGAATATCTCGATTTTATACTATTTAGAAGTGTTCTGTGACGATACAACCTTCTTGTTACGTAATTCTTATTACAGGGTTATGTCACTTTGAAAGATAATATGGAGGATGCGGTGATTCAAAACTTTTAGTAATTAATAGAAATGTATCAACATTTTATAATTTGTAAAAATTGTCGTGTCCAAATAGATACAATAATACATAATATATTTCATATTATCATTTTCAAGTACTACAACCAGTAGTAGGACAGTAGGTATATACATTTTAATAAAAGAAACTACCCGATCGAATAATTTTTATTTAGATACGTCGATATGATCAAAAAAATCAGTTGCTTTATAATTTTCAATAAAAAATATTGACTTTTATTTAAAGAGAATAAGTCTGTAAAACTCCCCAGGACACTTAAATGGGATTTATAAAAATCTAAATAATTAAAAATATGTTCCTTAAGACATATACTTAAGAATTTATAAAATTTTGTTTTCGGATACACATACATATAAACATAACAGCCATTATCGACAATCTAGATTTAACTATTTAGAAGGTTCTGTGACGATACAAACTTCTTGTTACTGAATGTCACTGATGTCTGATGTGAAATATTTCAAATTCCGAGCAAATCGAGCTGAGCGTTCGAATTTCGTCGGCGACGACTTTCGCAGGAGCTAATGTCTTCCTATTTACGAAAGTTATATTATTATCTAAGAATGTATACCCGACGTTGGAAATCTGGTCGAAAACCGACTATAATGTAAGCAAAAAGATGTCACTTTTCTTCATGACAAACGGAAACACTATATACATTGACCAACCATTGTAATGCATTACATACGATAATCAGACGAAACCCATCAAAATACGTTATCATTACAAACCATAGTACGACTTCCAACAGTGTTGGCGACAATGAGCATTATCGAATCAAATGATTTCTACAGGTAATAGTGTAGCTGTGATGATGAGGTTCTATATTTTCTTCAACCCTCATTAATTAAAATATTACGATTAAAGTAACCCGGCGTTTTAGATAGGCAAAATAGGTACACCACTGCCTAGAAGCCATAACTCGAATTAGTGTGTTACAGTGTATTGTTTGTTTATTATTTTTTATTTTACGCATTACGTATCCAAATAATGAAATTATTACACAGCCATTTGGACAGATTACTCTACAAGTGAATATCACTGAAGCATAGACGTGTGGTACGTTGAGTTACATAAAAATCAACTATTGAAAACGTTTTACTCTGAAAAATAAAATGTAACCTTAATTAAAACGGATAACGAAAACAAAACAATATGGACTATCAAAACATAAAGTTAAATGAGATATACAAATATGATTGATCGAAAAATAACAATATCATTAAAATATGTTTAAAAACGCATTACTACAACCAAAAAAAAAGAATTTATATACATAATTGTATATCCAGTTAAAGATGGTGAAAATAATGCTAAGTATAATTTCTGTTTATTTTTAAATTATATTATTTGGAAATTCTTCATTGGAAAAAATGCTGTGACCAATAAAAATGATGATTATTAATTTAGCAAAGAACTTTTATGAATGTGTGTTTGAAGTAAAATCAAAGAAGGGCTGTGACTTGTTACTAATTAAAATTGATGGAGAGGTTAAATGAAAGGGTACTTAAAAAATTGTAACAATATAAGTTAATATAATTATAACATTAAACATTAAACGCAAAAGCAAAGTAACTTTAAAAAATCTCGAAAACTTTAAGCAGTTAACACAAAATTTAAAAAACGTTTAAATATTCTAAATAACATTAAACGTAAAAGTACGTTTTAATTCTTAGTAACATTAAAATAGAATTAAATTATTTTTTTTCAAATCCTAGTATTGATCAAAATACGATACATGTAACTATTATAAATTAGCATATAGCATAATATTACCATAATAATATTATATATCTACAAGGAATAAGGGCTGAAAACTATATTTTACGCAGTACCAAAAATGTAGTAAAAATCAATAGGTTAGGTAGTTTTTAAGATCTACCACGCAGTGTTAATTTACTTAAAATTGTACTGAATTTGATAATCAATCTCTGCTATGATACCACTTGGATATAAAAGCTGATACGTACTAACTTTTTTAGTTAGCT